TCCCCTACCTATCCATACCAGTCTGCAATAAACCCTCCACATAACCCAGATTTGCCATGGCCCAAGCCCTCTTTACAGCGGAAACACTCCCTACGACTTTCCACTCAACAAAGGGACAATATCCCAAAGCCAAAGGATCTCTCTGTGACTATTGAGGATCAGCAGGAGGTTCGATCAGGCAGCAGAACGATTAACAAAGGAGATATTCTGGAACTGACCCCTGACAATACACTGCTAATAGCAAACAGTGAAGGTTTAATAGAGGATGACTGTAGGCTCTATCGGGCAGCAGATGGACCAGAAGAGGAAGATGCCTGCAGCTCCCTGTGCCTGAACACCGAGGAGATGATTGATGCAGATGATGATTACCGAACTGGTATTGCAAACTATCACCAGCTGGTTTACAATAACCACAAATCTAAAACCCATCAACATTCCTATTACAAAGTTATGTTTCAACAACCGCAAGCTGCTTGCAAACAAGACTCAACAGATAGCACTTTAACAGATCTAATTACTCCCACGAGCCAGAGAGAAGCTTCCCTCATAGCCTCAAGACCAGCAGAGAGCTGCTCGAGACCGCATCATCAAAGAACTAGATCACCGGGGACGTTCTGCGAGCAAAGTCCTGCGAGGGCTGTATTGATCCAGGGTGAGAAGGGATGTGGACCTATTCTGGATGGAAACTGTTCGAAGGTATGCGAAGGTGCCGACAGCAGCATCTTTGACTACTGCCAGGCCAGCGAGCTTGAATCAGACTCGGAGACTGTCCGAAAATCAGCCGACGAAGGTGACGGCGAGTCTGCGCACTGGGCTGTGGATGTGCAGGAAGTGCAGCAGGACAGCTTTGATGAGAATAGTGTTCCTCAGACCCACAAAGCCATCCAGAGCGCACCAACTGGGGCCAGAAGAGCCGAGGAAATGGTGGAGAACCAGAGCATCACTGGAGACAGTGGAATAGATTCCCCTCGGTGAGTGCCTGCCTTCATGTTTTTATGTATGTTTTATTGAAAAGTAATGTAAAAATGATTATGTAATTCCTCACAACACCCTTACCTATTAATATAGTGTGAAAGCCATTGAATTCTAAGGCCAGTACATATTGTGTCATATTATCCACATCCCTTCAACTGTTTTACATTTTGTCTTGTTGCAATCACAAATTTGGAAATGAAAGTATACAAGAATTTTCAAATTGCTTGCAAATAAAAATCAGACATGTGTGACCAGTGGTCCACAACTCACATGGAAGAATTTGTTGACTATAACTTTTGGCTGTGCCCTCTGTAAATCTGGCCTTTATAGGAGAGAAAAAAAATAGTAATTGTTAAAAACGAAGAAGACAGCGTCATGGTTTGACTCAAGCCATGTTGTGGATAGGAAGCATGGACGAAATTGCTCTGGTCAAATGAAACTGAATTTCTTTTTTTTGGCCTACATGCAAAATTGTATGTGTGGCAGAAAGTTTCCACTGCACATCAACCTCAATACTCCATAATCATGGTGAAACCATGTTGCTAGGTGGAAGCAACAAGCTGCAAAGATCCATAAGCTGCAATTGCTGCAAAAAGATGGATCTGTACTGACTCAGAGGGCCTGAAAATTTTAATATGTATTACAAAAAAAAAAATCAAAAGCCAAATATCTTCTTTTAGTTTTACAAATATGAATTACTCTGTGATGGTCTACTCTGTGCCATAAAAGACAGAAGGAAGAGATTGTAACGTGACAAAAATGTGAAAAATTCCAAGAGGGGTGAAAACTTTTGCAAAACATCGTACCCTTCCAGATGTGTGCCCACACACCACGGCCTGCCTTTCTGAAGTGCCTTTGGCCAATGTAAACACAGAAATGAAGTTTGTTAACCTTGGGGTTGCATGTCTGTGGTTGGCCTCGCTCCCAAAACGCGCTGTTGTACTTTTAAGGTAAATTGCAATAAAGCTGAGCAAACACCTTGTGGCCAATTATAGCATCCAGTGTTTGAACAGCAGGGAGTCATTGCTGATAATTATGTGTAATTGCTGTGCGGCACTTAAAAACTCATTTTAAAATCGAAGAGGAAGAAAAGAATTTCTTTCCTGACATTGAACTCTCTGTGCACCTGGTCGCCACTGGTCGTGTGCTGAATGATGTCACATTACCAAAGTGGTATTTTTCTGCTCCTTGCAGGACCCGTGTCAGCCTTGCGTCGAGCAACACCGTTATCCTCGAAGGCCTCAAGAGACGGGGCTTCCTGCAGAACCTGGAGAAGCTGCATTCAAAGAGCAGCGCTATCCGACCACAGAGCTCACTGCTACAGCTAACTCCTGTCATGAACGTATAGCAGATCCTTGGTGAAGCAATGCTGATCACTCTTCTCGAAAAGGCTTAAATGATATGCTTGCTGTATGCACATGCTAACAAAAATGGATGGACGAGGATCTGCACTTTGCTGCCTACCTCCCCATATGGACACCTATGACAACACAGGTGTGTGTAAAAATGTACAGTGAACACAATAAATGTAAATAGACTCAGATTCTGCTAAGATATATCCAGATTTACTTGTGTATGTGTTGTTATAGTTTGTATTGTATGCAATATAAATGCAATTTTTTTTCTTCGTCCAATTTGCTCAAATGTGTAGAAAAGCACATGTCCTAGTTTTTCAATTTTGCTCTTGAGTTACAAAATAAAATATATTATATATTCACCAAGATGTCTTTTGTTTCATGATACATGTATGGACTTCATACACAAATTGGTATATATATATATATATATATATATATATATATATATATATATATATATAAAATAGAAAAACAGCTGTTAAAGTGTTTTAGCTCGGCCAGCATGGCAACTAATTTAATGTAGGACTACGAAAAGTTTCTACATAAAAGTAGAAGTAAAGTTTTTATATATACAAGTATTTACATCTTGCATTATATTATCATAATCAGGTTTTTTATTTTGATCCTTTTAAGAATCTGTCTGGGAGCCCCAAAAACAAAAGATCACATTGGGATTATTTTTCATTTTTTTCCTCCAATTTGGTGTCATGAGATTGTTATTTTTTTAAAGATTAAATGCATTTTTCAAAAATAAAATTGCACTACTTTATGTAAATGGCTTCCTGAGATAGTTTAACTGGTAAGAGCTTCTTTGCTTTTGTTTGTGTGCTACGTCCATTTCACCCATTCATTCTGCAAATGCTGACTTAAAAGCATGACCAGCGTAACATTTCTATAGGCCAGAACATTATTCTGCTTCTTGATAACAGCACCTTCTACAATTAGCAAAACTATTAATTCCCTTTGAAGATTTTGTTAAAAATACAAACAGCAATCCTGAATATATGAAGATGAAGGGTATGGTATATTTGGAAACGAGACAAGACCACCCACCTAAACCAACAAGATGAGCAAGGACCAACAATCACAGAAACAGCCAAAAGGCCCACTGTGACTCTGGAGGAGCTGCGGAAATGTACACCTGGGAGTAACTACAAATCTAAAAACCTAGGCTTTATGCAAGAATGGCAAGAAAAATGCTATTGCTGAAAGGATAAAATATGTTAAATGTTGAAAGAGTGGGTGAATATGCCCTAAACATACAGTTAATGCTGCAACACAATAGCTTAGCTTGAAGCATAATAATCTGTTAGTTTGACCCACTTGTAAGCAAAAACTTACAAAATTTATGTTTGTGTAAGACCTCTGATTTTATAGAGAATAGTTTTATTCCACAGATTTGCAAATCTGGAAGTCAAGCTCCAAAAGATAGCTATAGCAATGTTGGTTTACAAAATACAAACTTATTCCCATTTTGCAAGAATGCACTTCGGTTCTGATCTAAAACACGTGATCCGAGATTGTAGTTGTAATGTGAAAAAGTGTAAGGACCATGAATACTTTTGGAAGGTACTATATAAGCCAAGGTCACACCAGCTGTAGATCCGGTCCTTGTTCCTCTGCTTCAGACCAAAATCAGCCTCCAGCTGTGAAAAAATGTAAACCATTGTTTAGTTCACGTAGGAGACATGTTCTTTTTTAGGTCAAAGATAATTCCCAAGGGCCTTCACACCTATTCAATCACAGCTTTTACCCACCGAAATTGATGCCATTTAGTTTTAAGACTGTAAACAGCGACACCATGTGTTTAAACAGTGTCAGTGCAGGTTAAATTTTTTTTTCTTTTGGTATTTGTATGACAATAAATAAGCGTCATGATTTTAGTACTACTCCAAATTGCATTAATTCAACACCATGAGAGAGAGAGAGTCAACAACCTTTATTTATCCATATATGTGCCACTCAGATGGGGAAGATGTGTTACAGGGTTTGCCCTTAAGAATAGTCTATATGGATCTTTTACACCACTTTCTCAATGAGGCCATTGACAAAAAAAATCAAAAGGGGGAATAAAACAATATAGTTGTAACAGTGTAAACACATTGCAATATACATGAAAGCAAAAGAAAAAGGTGACAAATTAAAATGTAGGGCAAGTTAATGAGTAAGAACTAAAAAAAAAAAAAAAAGTAAATCCTGAAAACCCTAACTTTCAAATAACAGCTGGGCATACATTTCTACATTGCATGCAATAAGGCACCTAACTAACACAAGGAAAATAACTATGCTACAGTGTGACGCACAACTGTTATCCAAATAAAGATATTGCTCACCAAATGTTCAACTCTCATAAAATCCCGTCTCATTCTCTTTCGTATAACCCAAGCCATATCTAAAAAAATACGTCAGTTTGTAAAAGATATTTTACACAGAACAGTAAATAGAGCGCAATCCATTGGACTTCAGAAAAATCTTGTAAAATGAGATTCTCATGTTTTAGTATACACAACTTCTTTTTGTTTTAGATCAAACAACGAAAAGTTTGCAGGTCAACAAGAATATGTGTTACCTATAACTATACACAGGCAATTAGTTTCCAAAGCAATAATGTACATTTGGATCTTAGGGTGAAGTTGAAACCACGCAGTAAATAATTAGGACACGGGTCATGTTGCAATATGCTACCCAGAAGATTTTTATTTTCTAATATGCATTTTTGTTATAGCTAGATTGCATGTCAGAATAGACTGGGGTCTCGACCAGTATTGCTCTCTGTACAGTTTATGAAGCCGTGCTAAACCACCAGACATACAAAAATCCAATCTCATAAATATACAGGACGGCTCATGTTAACGGAGCCCAACTTTATGGAAAAATTTGCAACATTTTTCTTTTCGTTTTTATATCCAACACTTAAAACAAATTAAAAGAAAAAAAAAAGACGTGGAGAGACAGAGTGAATCTTTCTATCAAAAGTTGTATCGTCTGGAACAGCACACTAGTTAACTATACATATATATAAAAGAAAATCAAGAAATATCTACATTGGATTTTTGATATTTGCTTCATACGAGTTACATCTGGGAGGGAAAAAAAAAATCAAACGGGGCAACAGTTCCTGTTCAGTTGTATTTGACATTTTTAATAAAGTCGCAGCTGAAAAGCAAATGTGTGCACCTGAAGATACATGAGTGGAACTCTATGAAAAAGATGAGAGGTATTATTTATCCAAAGATACCATTTTATCTTGCAGATTTTCAAACCACATTTGTTTTTCTTTTAAAAGAGTTCTGGATGTCCTGGAGCGAGTGAGACAGAATCACGAGAAATTCCTTCACTATATTCTATACCATCTTGGAGCTGCACACAAAGCCTTGGGTTCAGTTCAGTTGCATGTTTGCACAGTCTCTCAGGCCGAGTCCCCACCTTTTGAATAAATCTGAATTATTGTCCGTTTATTCTGAGCTGCTCCACTTAGATATCGACATGACCTCTTTGTCTGCAGAAGTTGGACTACCGTTTTCTGTGGTGCTGTGATATAGATATAAGGATTTGGGGGGACAGAAACGTATGAAAAGTGGTAATGGGGGCTAAGGGCTGCCTCTAAGGGTGGGGCCCTGGTCTGTGATCTACGTGGATCCTATGATGTCTGGAGAGAGAGGAAGAATGGTTAAAGCCTTTTCCGCAGTGAGAGCACCTGTATGGTTTCTCGACAGACAGGATGAGCTGCTTTGGGAAGGCATTGTTGGAGAAAGCCTTACCAACAGGGATGGCGGTGTACTGCTGCGGTTGTGGTGTTGGTGGCTGTGGCGATTGTGGTTGTGGCTGTAACTGCTGTTGTGTCTGCAGCGGCGACGCGAGCGCCTGCTGCTTCTCCAAATGAACTCTCTGATGCCTCGCAAGAGAGGAGGAGTGATTGAACTTTTTGCCACAGTGACCGCAGGTGTACGTTTTTCCATCCGAGTGGACTCTTTGGTGCCGTGACAGAGAGGAGGAATGATTGAAGCCCTTGTCACAGTGGTGGCACATGTACGGTTTCTCTCCTTCCTGGAGTACTCTTTGCTTTGGAGGCGAGACGAAAGTGATGGGTTTCCCAGGCTGAGGTGGGGAAAACACCGGGTTCTGCAGGTGGGTCTTGTTATGGCGAGACAGGGATGAGGAGTGGTTGAAGCCCTTGTTGCAATGTCTGCAGGTGTAGGGCTTCCCCCCGGCGTGGACTTGCTGATGCTTCTTCAGGTGACGCTTGCGGACAAAACTCTTCCTGCACATGTTGCATTTGTACGGCTTTTCACTTGAGTGAATCCTCTGGTGCTCTCGCAGAGTCGCGGCGGCCGCAAAACACTTTCCACACTGTGCGCACCGGTGGGGTTTGTCTCCGAGCACGACTGCTGTGTGGGTCTTTTGGTGCTGCTTCAGGTTGGAAGTTGTAGCGAAGCCTTTGCCACACTGGCCACAGGTGTATGGCTTTTCGCGCGCATGGACCTCCTGGTGCTTCTTTAAATGCCTCCTGCGGACGAAGCTCTTCCTGCACTGTGTGCACTTGTATGGTTTGTCTTCAGAATGCATCTTCATGTGTTCCCTCAGTGTTATGGCAGCTGCAAAGCTCTTGCCACATTCTGTGCATCTGTGGGGCTTGTCTGGCAAATGAATCATCTGATGAGACTTAAGGCTGTAGGCATCAATAACATCTTTACCTATCAGGTCAACTCCCGGGGGAACGTACGGCTTTTCTTTCATGTGAATTTTCATGTGCTGCTTGAGACTGGCTTCTACGGCAAAACTCTCCCCACAGTGGATACAGATATACGGGTTGAGGTCCTTGTGGATCTCAAAGTGTTGGTGAAGATCAGCTATGCTGCCAAAGATCTCCCCGCACTCGTTGCACTGTAGGCCGTGAGCTTCATGTATGATTACGCCATTCTCGGATTCCACTGTCAACTCGCCGCCATGATCGGACTCCATTTTCACCACATGCTCACCTTCTGTCTTAAGCAGCACCTCTCCCAGTAAAGTCTCGCCCGTTTCTGTCTTGATTTCTGCTGCTGTGAAACAGTGCATGTCAGCATGCTCCACCTTGATATAGTCATGGTCTGTCTCGGCAACGATCGCATCCACACATGCGACAGCCCCGAGTTCTCCCCCGAGTCCTTGGATCTTTAAGTCTGAGCCGTGGATCTCCAACTCCAATCCACGCTTTTCCTCTGTCATGATCTCCGTTTCGGCTCCATAGTGAAGGTCGACGTGGCTATGGGCTATAACACACTCCGACCCAAGTGTGTCAAGCCCTGGCGTGTCACATTCAGTCTCTGACTCTGCCATAAGAACACACTCCAGCCCCACGGCCTCCGTTTTTCTGCCGGATGATGACCAAAGAGGGAATCGGGGTTATATGTTGTTTTTTTTTTTCTGCCTGCGCCGGCGTTCTTGTCAGTGAGCTGACCTGGGAAAAAAAGTAGAGAAAAAAATTCATTGACAAAAAAATAAATAAATAAATAAAAAAAATAAAAAATATTGTGACATTATTAAAAAATTTCACAAAACACAGTGTTTACTCACAAACTAATAAGTTATAGGATCTGTTTGTTGCTTACTAATCATTCACTTATTAACCAATTTGATATCAATTAGGGCAGCCCAATTTTAGAAATAGTATCATATTTACTTTTCTATTTTAATTACTTTACTACTTAGCTTTTTTGCACCAAATAAAGTAACTGAATAATTTCAATAATGTCTACACAGTGACGATAAAGGCTGCCGTGTTTTATATCTGTTGTGAGTTTAATGAACAATAAAGCTCAACTGAAATTATACCATACATTGCTGGAAAGCAGTTTAAATACATAATTCCAAATATATTGTAGCCCACCAAATATTGCATTGAAGCAGCCCTTTGCGATACTGCACACACTCATTGTGATTTAGTAGACTGTGCAGCTTTACTATTAACCGAGTGCAATTAAGGCAGATGGTAAATTAAATGTATTTAATTTGATTAACAGTACTGCTAAACTTGCATCTAAACTTCACGGATTGCAACAAATATTTTGTATTTCAAACTGCTTTGACACAGCCATATTATAAATTTAGCAGTAAGTTGAACATTAATAGTGATGTGAGATTTTACAAACTTAAAGATATATGAAAATCTGAAAGATATCTCATCTTATAGAGATAACCAAAGAATCAAAGAAACAAACCCATTCTCTTGGTACTTAAACCAAGGCGCAAACTATTGGGATATAAAAACAGCAACAAAATATCCACAAAACCACAACAACTCTAGTTTGTAGGAACTATAGAGTGCTATTAAATCTTAATTATTTTTTTTTAAACTGCGCTTAAGGTAATATACTTAACCTATATATTGACATAACTCATACCTGAGCAAACCAGGTGATGCATTTGGTGGCTACATTAGCGTACATGCTTCGCTTCATTAGCTATACTCCAGTGATGTTTAAACAAAAGTAAACCACGCAGCTTCTTATTCGGTCTTAATCCCCAATTTCTCCCTCAGATTTGCTTTATGGCTCGCCCTTATTCTGATATACGAGGAACCATTTGAACATTTAGACAACGGGCTTTTTGTTATTAAACATTTAGGTTGTTAGCCTTTCAACAACAGCTACAAATGGCCTCCATAGCCGCTAGTTAGCTGGCTATGGAGGACGGGCGACTGGTTACCGACAAAACAGCATTGTGTTAGCTGCTAGTGCGTTTGCATTTTAGCCAGCTAACTAGCTGGAAGATGGTCACATACGCGAGTACTGTGCTTTCAGGGCTTCATAGACGACAAATACTTACAATAAAACAGGCGGCCAGACCGAGTTTATAAGCGCACCTTAGGACGACGGAACGACGCGGAAATTCTCCCAGTGCGATTATTACCAGGCCATCTTGTTGTGCCACACCAGCACTTCCAGCTAGTCTAAGATGGCTGCCGCTGGCTAACGTTATCCGCCTTAGCTTCCGTCATACACAATATATCTAAACAGGGTGGGCAACAATCGCTAAAGGGAGCGAATATTGTTGAAGAACTCGAATATATGATCCTAAATAATCATTGGACATTGAAGTTACGACATTGTGTTGGCTTTTAACCTAACTAAAGTGTATTTAGCGCGCTAAGACTCGCCTATAAATCCAAGCAGGAGCTGGTTAGCTGAAACAAAGATGGCTAACTGAAGAAGGACGCTGCTGTGCGAAAAGCCCGGGAAAGGGCGACTTATAGTCACAAAAGACGAGAAACTTGCAGATTATTCGAAGCCAAAATAAGCTCTTCAAGTTAACGAGAACCAAACAGTTTGCAAAACGATGCTTGCGTGAACCAGACCGACCTGATCCCGAGTGTTTCACTGCGGCAGCAGCAGAACAACCACACTTCAATGGCGGCCTTGATTGTGTTAGCAGCTACCAAGCATGCATGTCGCGGCTACATAGCCATGATGCCGAGCTAAAAACTCAGCTAATCCAGTTAGTTAGCAAAGCTAAAGTATCCATATACATGCAGATTGATATAATTTCACATCGCAAAACACTGGCGAATAACCTTTATGAAACACGAAACCGTGCATTTAAAACTACATTGTGTAGAGACAAAAGTAGAGTAGTCCACACAGAAATACAGATTAGAGACTACAGACTAATAGATTTAAAGATAATATAGTTCCTTAAACCTATAAATTTGTGGGTTGGTATGCTTTTAGGGCACTGCTGTTTCGATTATCGCGGGTCAAGGCCTGTATTTTTCCATCAGAGTTGTAAACTGCTGGTCAGCTATTACCACCCTATACACACAATATTTAAAAAGATACGACAGGATTATATCTATCGGAACACACCCGCCCACCTATTGAGAAAATATGTCTGAGAATAGATTGCATTTAAAGGATGAAGTGTTCACCGGGATTAACATCCTATAGAGTTAGTATACAAAACCGTGCATGCACACACCCACCTTTCTGTCCTTTTACTTTGTGGTTGTTGCAGAGAGAGAAGCAGAAGAATCGTTTGGGGATTTTACACGCTGGGTCTGAGGGGAGCTTTGCAAGTTTTTCAGTGAGCCTCGTCACACTGCTCTGGTCTGTGTGTCTTCGTTTCCTCTCACTGCCTGTGTGTACAGCTGGCGCCACAGCTCATCTGGCGCCAACGTTGGACCTCCGACGCACTTTAGCGAAAGCAACTATTGTCATTTCATATCAGCACATACACCATCGTCACCCCTACAGGCTGGGAGTTAAAGTGCAGGAGATTGAAAGAGTAAATTCAAAGTACTACTAACTATTAATTATTCCGTTGGGAAAGAGTAAACCTTTCATTCCTGCCAAAAATATTTCCAATGAAACGGTATGGTTTTCTTTAAATTTAGCCGAGCATTTAATTAAAGCTGGCTATGCATGGACTGAGTAAATAAATTATTAAGGAGGCAGACATGTAGGTTTGCAGTAGAGGTGATTAATTCCAAAGACTTGCTTTGAAATTGTGCTAAATCTGATCAGTGAAAATGTCACTAAGCATGTATAAAACATCTTATATAGACAGACTCCATCAGAATATGTGATGATTAGTGGAACACCCACTAATCTAAGGTTTAGATGAGCTCATCATTGGCATGAATGTTGCTTTTGAATAAGACTTTTAATGGTGCTTCTATAACCTTGTTTTTCCTTCAGCGTGAAGTGAAACACTATATCACTTCAGTTTAAAAAAAAACAACAACATTTGAGTGCTCAAGGTTGAATTAGTTTTATTTTGTCACTTATTGGTAAAAAGTAAACATAGTCCCACACAGTGATATTTGATTAAATAGGTCTTGGCAATGGGCAGTGACGCCATACACTTAGTGTAGTCAACAGTTGCTGACATCACCATTATATATATGACTACACTTCTAATTAGAAGTGTATCTTTTAATTGGTATTCTGACAGAGATTTTAACCAAGGTCCATAAATCTCTTAAAGAACTTAAGAGAAAATCACTCTAGAGGCTTAATGACCTGCTTTATTAATTATAAAGCCAGTTTTAATGTGCATTAGGAATTATTAATCTTTTGGAAAACCCAATGTGTGCAAGTTTGAACCATATTTCTGTTTATCTTAAGATAAATTGAAGATTTATCCCACCACTACCATTAGCAGTAAAATATACCCTGGGCATGACGCTACAACCACTATGTTTGACAGATTATGGACTCTTCCCAGTTTTGAAGTTTATTCTTTGGGTTTGAAAGTTTTAAAAGTTTACTGAGGCAGTTGGCTATCTCTTGTTTGATGCCATCTCAGTCTATGCTGATGTTCATGACTTCATTGCTATCAGTGACGCTATTATTCCTGCATCCTACCATTTGTGACTGATTTAATCATTAGTCGTTCATCAGTTGCCATTTAACATCCATGCTTATCTTTTTTCATCTTAGGGGAACAGGATTAGATGGTTGACATTTTAACAGTAACCTTAAAGTGTCAGCACTTTGATGATTCCCAAAAATATCGTGCCAGAAGGTTGTTGATAAATATAAATGCATATTAATTCAGTTTGATCTGAATTAGTAAATTCGGATAATTTGTTATATGAATTTATTACCTTACCTTGTATTTGTCATTTTTTTTTACCCTTTGTGGGTTAAATAAAATCCACAAAAAAATCCAAATTTGTGCATTCAGTTATTCCTTTTAATATTACTTACAGTGATATCTTGTAACACTATTTCTCCCTGAAAAGAATGACTGTTCAAATGCATCACTGAATGCCTGAAATTATATTCTTACTTAAATGAGTGTAAGCCTAAAACTATTGACTGATATATTTGAGACATGACAGGATTTGCTAAAAGTGTGGCCTGCCAATAAATGTATCTGTTGTGATATTTACAAGAAAAATGTCACTAAAGCAAGATGAACGACAGATAAATTAACAAATAATTCTAAATTTCAAGAAAAACTGTTCAAAGTAAAGAGACAATGGATGTGTTTTAGCAACTAAAAGATTTTCATTTTGTTTAAAATTTCCAGTTAGGTGTTTTCTTGTGTCTTACGTGCTGTTTGTTATTTAATCAATTATTTTATATGACTGTTGTTTTTCTAGCATGTAGAGTACCTGTATAGCCCTTTTCATTGGACAGCGGTGTCATTCTTAAGTACAAAGACACTATAATTAGGTTTTTAGAAAATAGTTTGATTTGCTTTTTTTGCCTTTTTAATGTGAAACATATATTTAATACATTTTACAATATAACATTATTGCAGTTTTTTACTTTCCAATTCTATCACATGGATACAGCTTATTTCATTCTGTTTTAGGTCAGTTCGTCATAACAGAGTAATATGAAGTTGTCAATTACTGCCACAAGATGGTGCTCCTTCGCCAGTGCCTTTTTTCTAGCAGTTGATTAGGTTTTGTAGGTTTTACAAGATTAAAAATAAGTTTTTGAAGAATAAAGTGGTAACGTGCTAACCTGCTTTTTTTAGCTACTAAATAAGACTTATTGTTACTGCTAATTTCAAAATGTTCATCCCCCCCCCGACCTTTCTGCCAGTTTCATCCTATTAAGTGGATTTCACAACAATCATATGTCCAACCTGGAATACTGGTTTTATGAGTAGTCCACATAGCAAACATTCTGTCACACAAAGCGTCACTCGCTCAGTTTCACCGGAACAGTTCACTTCGGGAGCTCAGTTATACTTGATCCTGTTTACTTGTAGTCTTTTTCTTTAGCCATCAACCTCATTAAAAGGCTGTCACGCTGCTCTCAAGCTGATTTCCTAGTGGATTTTATTTTTGGTGTCTTATCTGCTAGTTTTATTTTCTCATCTTTGGAAAAGAAAATGTCTCACTCAGACAGTCTGGACTTGGACAGATATGCCAATTTGGACAAATCTCGCCGGTCAGCCAGTCGAAACCAGACCAGGCAAAGGACCAAGGATGGGGAGGTCCTCTGTGACTTCTGCACTACGAGGAAGCAAAAAGCCGAGAAGTCCTGTCTGGTTTGCCTGGCATCGTATTGTGCGGAACATCTGCAGTCACACTATGACTACCCCACCCTGATGAAGCACAAACTGGTCAAAGCCACGGGTCAGATGAGAGAGAAGGTCTGTGCCCAGCACGACAAGCTGCTGGAGGCCTTTTGTCGCACCGATCAGACATCAGTCTGCGTCTTGTGCATGATGGACGAACACAAACACCATGACATCGTCCCGGCTGGAACTGAGAGGACTGAGAAACAAGTGAGCGTTGAACAGAACTCATTCTGCACTTTGAACTCAAAAAAATGTTTGTTGTTATTAGCCTTTAAGTATTTAAACTTTCTTTTCCTTGCATTTTTGTAGAAACAACTCGGTACCACTCTGCACAAGTCTCAACAAAGGATTGATCAGAGAATTAAAAAGTGGCAGGATCTAAGACAAGCAGTTGAATCAGTGAAAGTAAGTAAAACACATCCAAGTTAAATTGCAGAAAGGTGTTTTGTTCTGAAATGATACTGTTTTCTAATCATTCACATGTATCTCAACAGCACTCTGCTCAAACAGTTCTTGAGGAAAATGAGCGGATCTTCACTGAACTAATTAATTCTATACAAAGGAAGTACAATGAAGTCAAAGAGATGGTCCTCTCCCACGAAAAAACCACAGTGACACAGGGGGATCTACTCCTGGACCGCTTGGAGGAGGAGATAACTCTGCTGAGGAAGAGACACAACAACCTGGAGAAGCTCTCCCGCACTGATGATCACATTCACTTTCTGCAGGTGAGGATGATCTGCTCAATGTAACACAATGACTTTAGAGCTCAGAGTGGTCCATATGCTCATTTATGGGGACGTTTTTATGTTTACCAGAGCTGGCAGTCTCTATCGGGCCCCTCCGGGTATGAAGACCTAAACAACATCAATGTTGTTCCCAATTATTCCTTCGATCCTGCCAAGAGAGCCATTGCGGCATTGAAATTACAAGTGGAAGAAGTCAGCAAGACAGAAATGATGAAAATCTCTGGAGCAGGTAAACACATCTGTCTATTTTTCCTCACCAAATACAACCAAAACTAAGCAGTTTGATGAATCCCCTGCTTTTTTTCTTCTTAACTTTCATAGTGAAGGAAGTGTACATC